TAGCCGATGTCAAAAACGCAAGTTCTCCAAAATAAAAACCAAGTTTAGAAAACATTTGTTTATTGCAATTTGCTAAGAGATCAAGTAAAACATCTTAAAAAGCACGTCATTTAGTTGAAAACCACGGCTAGCCAAGTTCGTGCCGTTTCGCATGGTTTTCACTAAACGATCAAAAACGGAAGGTGGTTTTTTGAGGCGTTTTTGTTGGAGAACTATTTAAATATGCCCAGAAGTAAAAACCAGTTATAAAAAGTTAAAAAACACTTTGTTGGTTCGGACGCCAAAAACCGATGCCGAAAACCGAGAGCCGAACGCCGGTTTCTGAAAGCCGAACGCCGAATGGCTTGGTTTTTGGCTTGGGCGAACTCCAAGTGTTTTGACCCAAGTTTAAACTTTAAGAAAAGTATTTTTGAATATGTAAAAGAGATTTTTATGAATTAAGCCTAGAGAGCCAAGATTTGGAATTTTGTGCCGGTCTTGATCACATTAAGACCGACTCAATACAATTCTAGTTCTTCGTTCTTGATTCTGGGTTCTTGGTTCTTAAGTCATCATGCCATGTTCCTTCGCCTTAGTTTTGCTCACTTTAGCTTCGATATGTCGCGGCGGTTTGGCATTATCAAAATCTGTCATAAACGAACACAGTTTAATGCGACGAAGGCGTAAACCCGTGTTCCAACAAATTTGTCATGTCTAGTGTTAAATATTCTTCAATATGGGGTATATGGGTTATGGCATGATCCGACACAAGTTCATGTGAATATGAATTTATGAGTTTTTCAATCGATCTCTTTTTTCTTCTCCTTTCTTTTTTGAAAGAAAAAATGAGCTTGCATATTTATATTTTAATTTAACTTCACATATATTACGTGCCGCGTGCATTGTGCATCGCAAAATTAGTGCTATTGAATGTATTGTGGACCACAAGTGTTGCATTGTCCAACCAACTTGTTCTATAAAGATTTTAATTCCATTTATATCAATTAGGTAAACCATGCTGTCCACACACACACACTGGACGTGCAGATAAGTTCACTTTGTTACATAAAATTAGAACCTAAACAATAAAAAAACTCTTTCTCTTCAATAATATTTTCCACGTTTGACCCGACCCGTATATTAGTTAAGAAAATAAAAAAAAATCGCCCTTATTAGAATTGTTTGATAAATTACTTTGAAGTAAGTATGGTAATACAATTCAACTAGTGTTAGCTCGTGTATATTTTACATTTTTTACATTCTATAATTATAATTTTATTTATTTTAGTTTTCTAATAGTGACATAATATGTGTTAGATGAATATTTTATTTAACTCTAAGATATATATTTTTTCAAATAATATAATTTAAATATAAATGTAAATGCACTAAAGAATCTATAAATATTTTCTTTAAAAGTAGTAAAAGAGAAATGATTTATTATTTTTAAAAATAATATAAATTAAAACTTTATTTTTCAAAACATTCATAAAGTTAAGTTTTTTTATAGAT